CAGCTGGCAGTCTAAGAATTGCTTGCTGCGCTATTCTCGCTCCAAACTGCGAATTTTGATAAAGATGTGCTGCGTGATGGCAGTGCTGTGCTGGAGTGGGCCGTTTCGTTCCAGACCCCGTTCCATACCGTTCCATACCCGTTCCATACCCGTTCCAGACCTGGACCACCCATGTACCACCCCTGACCCACTGGTGAACACATGGCAGGTTCTCACATACAATCGGGTAGACTGCTCGTAAGCCATCCTTTGCGCGTGGGTTATGGGAGGGTAGAGTCTTGCTATGCAGGGACACAATCTACCCCATAGGGACCTCTGAGTTTTAAGAGTAGGAGGTGGGACCTGCGTGACAGGTCTGAAGCTGAGTCGACAGCTTCACATGGTAGCCAGTGGGTGACACTGGCTACCGGTCGTGTCGTATCTAGTGCACGAGCACTAGCCATGCAAGGCAAACCTGCGTTGAACAGGTGTACAACAAGGATGTCGTGCAGATGAGGAGTAGCTTCAATGTGCATATCCTTGAGATGTATATTATATATGTTACATATGTATATATATATATAATTTATTTATTTATGTATAGCCTATATTTCATCACACTCCAAAGGCCCGGAACAAGACCAGTTACGAAGCCCCTTCGTTCCATACGTCCGGAACACCGCGGAACGTTCCATACACAATTTTGACTCGGGACCATATAATCAGTGCAGAAACTTCGCGCAGCTCCCAAGGCAAATTCAGATGACTTCGCTCCGCCTGGCAGCCAAGAAGCCTGCTTGCACCAGGGGATGTACACAGCGCGTTCAAAACTATTTGTGGTTGTATATGACATATTTTCTTGTAGGGTGCTGCATAAGGACGCGCGGAGAATGGCAAGGGAGTTCGGATTGATTATATGCAGAGTTCAGGGTGCCATTTGAGACCATAAATTTTGCATGAAGAATTCAACTGAGGACTGTGGACTTTGCAGATGCTCACGTCGAAGCGTTGCATGAAGTTCTATCCGATCCAAACGCCACCGCATCCGGTGGCGCCTTTTTTAGCGAGGGGTCATTCACTCTGACGAGGTCCCATCTGACAGCTTCTTGGATTATGTGGGTATGGATCAATACCTATTAATACCATTTTTATGGGGATGAACATCCATTTACCAGCTATTTTGATGTTCACCAGGGGTACAAGGTTTTGACACACTGCCATGTTGTTTTAGTAGCTCTTTTGTGCCAGAAATGAACTTAAATGAATTCCTGTTTTTGCAAATAGGTTTCAATTTCCGGTGTCCAACCTGGAACTGCGCATGAGATTAATGGTCTTGGACCCGGATACTGTACTTTGTAGAACCTGTTGACCAGTGGACACGCTGCAGATACCCATGTGATGCGAAACATCCAACGAAGATCCAACGAAGGTGATAGGCTCTGCAGCGGCAGATGGTGGTGGCTTCGCAGCGGGAGACCTGACCCTGGGCATTGCAGCGCGCAGGTGTAGTCGTTGGATGTCCTTTGGGTGTGGGATGCAATGAACCACGGTGGTATTTGAGTTTACTTGACAGTTCTGAATCCACACGCATTTATTAAATTTTATTAAGTATTTGCTGAGGGAATTCCATTTTACCAACACGGTGAGAATGTGTCAGCTAAGAAGTTTTCATTCTGCCAGGGATGGTGGCTGTGATCAGGTGGTTTGGGTTGTCGCTTGGGCACTTCGTATCTCGTGACATTTCAGTTTGTTTTGAGATACGTTATTTCCGGAGATATTTATGTATGAACTTCATGGAACATGGGATGCACGGGGCAATGGTCCGAGGTGCAGAACTAGAAAATCCTTAGATCCCTTAGGAAGGCAGGCTGACTAAGGAGCAGCCTGGGACACAGTCGAATTCAAAAAAGGCCATGGACTGCAGAAGGGGATGCATCGTCGTTTGTCGTCCATGGGAAAATGTGTAAACCGTAAAAGGTATTGCCGATCGCAGAGAGAAGGAGAGCAGAGTCAACGCAGAGACGCATGTGTAAGTACGCCAAGAACATGATTGGCTTTTCTGGATTCTCTTGGCATACAAGATGCAATATTCATCAATATTCATTCTGTTGTGGTGGACGCAAAACTCCTCTGATGTTCACCTGCTCAATGCGATGAGATTCGGTCCCCAAGGAATGTGCGCCAAGACTCTGAAGTCGTGATCGAGAACGTTTCAGCCAAGTCTGGTGCTGGTTTCTTCGCCACGGGAAATGTCTACATTTCGGTGGGGCACTCAGTGCGTTCGCTGCCATGCTGAAGAGCTGTGTAAAAGGACGCTAACAGGCTCATTCACAGCATGTTCAATTCCCATGTAATTACACATTGACATATGTAATTATTTTTTGTGACTCCCACGGACACGTTGTTGAAAGACACGTCTCTTTTAAATTTGTTTGTTCTCTCAACTGACCCTTGTGCGATTGCTGATTGGCTCAGGACAACTCAATGATCTTTATTCAAAATGCCAGATCCACCAAAAACGGAGGTGGCTTCTCAACCAGAAAACGCCTGCGAGTGTCCAACAGCTCAGTTGTGAGCCTTAAGAACGTGACCGCTGGAAGTCATGGAGGAGCTTTCACTGCCCTTGGAGATGTTGAGATAGCTGGCCACTCGACGGTCAACATTTCCAACAGTCAAGCTGAATCAGGAGATGGAGGAGGTTTTGACACGGAAAAGGGCTTGAAATTGTCCACCGGCTCAAGGCTCATCATTTGGAATGCGACTGCTGGAAATAATGGAGGAGGTTTCAATGCCTTTGGAGAGGTTGAGATAGCTGGGAATTCGACAGTCAAGATTTCCAACAGTCGCGCTGAATCAGGAGATGGAGGAGGTTTTAACACTGGAAAGGGCTTGAAGGTGTCCACCGGCTCAAGGCTCATCATTCGGAATGCTACTGGAAATTATGGAGGAGGTTTCAATGCCTTTGGAGAGGTTGAGATAGCCGGGAATTCGACAGTCAAGATTTCCAACAGTCGAGCTGAAGCAAAAAGTGGAGGAGGTTTCAACACTGGAAAGGGCTTGAAGGTGTCCACCGGCTCAAGGCTCATCATTTGGAATGCGACTGCTGGAAATAATGGAGGAGGTTTCAATGCCTTTGGAGAGGTTGAGATAGCTGGGAATTCGACAGTCAAGATTTCCAACAGTCGAGCTGAAGCAAAAAGTGGAGGAGGTTTCAACACTGGAAAGGGCTTGAAGGTGTCCACAGGCTCAAGGCTCATCATTTGGAATGTGACTGCTGGAAATAATGGAGGAGGTTTCAAGGCCCTTGGAGATGTTGAGATAGCTGGCCACTCGACGGTCAACATTTCCAACAGTCAAGCTGAATCAGGAGATGGAGGAGGTTTTGACACGGAAAAGGGCTTGAAATTGTTCACCGGCTCAAGGCTCATCATTTGGAATGCGACTGCTGGAAATTATGGAGGAGGTTTCCTTGCCATGGGAGAGGTTGAGATAGCTGGAAATTCGACAATCAACATTTCCAACAGTCGCGCTGAATCAGGAGATGGAGGAGGTTTTAACACTGGAAAGGGCTTGAAGGTGTCCACCGGCTCAAGGCTCATCATTTGGAATGCTGCTGGAAATAATGGAGGAGGTTTCAATGCCTTTGGAGAGGTTGAGATAGCTGGGAATTCGACGGTCAAGATTTCCAACAGTCGAGCTGAAGCAAAAAATGGAGGAGGTTTTGACGCTGAAAAGGGCTTGAAGGTGTCCAACGGCTCAAGGCTCATCATTCGGAATGCGACTGCTGGAAATTATGGAGGAGGATTCTTTGCCAATGGCAAGACCTTGATCAGCAGGTCCACCATCAGCATTCAAAATGCCACGGCCCGGCAACTTGGTGGAGGGTTTTGTGCATCTGATGGAGTTGTCATCGATGAGATGTCAAGCGTCAGCATTTCCACTTCAAGATCGAGATTTGGCGGAGGCTTCCATACGTCCAGACGCTTGCAGGTGACCAACAGCTCAGCTGTCAGCCTTCAGAACGTGATTGCGCAAGGGTCTGGAGGAGGTTTCTTTGCCTTTGGAGAGGTTGAGATAGCTGGGAATTCGACAGTCAAGATTTCCAACAGTCGAGCTGAAGCCAAAAATGGAGGAGGTTTTAACACTGGAAAGGGCTTGAAGGTGTCCACCGGCTCAAGGCTCATCATTTGGAATGCTGCTGGAAATTATGGAGGAGGTTTCAATGCCCTTGGAGAAGTTGAGATAGCTGGGAACTCAACGGTCAGTATTTCCAACAGTCACGCTGAATCAGGAACGGGTGGAGGTTTTGACGCTGAAAAGGGCTTGAAGGTGTCCAACGGCTCAAGGCTCATCATTCGGAATGCGACTGCTGGAAGCCATGGAGGAGGATTCTATGCCATAGGCAAGACGTTGATCAGCAGTTCCACAGTCAGCATCGAAGATGCCACGGCCCAGCAGTACGGTGGAGGGTTTTGTGCTGCAGGTGAGGAGGTTGTCATCGATGAGATGTCAAGCGTCAGCATTTCCAATTCAAAATCGGGATGGGGCGACGGCGGAGGCTTCCATACGAACAGACGCTTGCAGGTGACCAACAGCTCATTTGTCAGCCTTCAGAACGTGACTGCGCAGAAGTATGGAGGAGGTTTCAATGCCATTGTAGAGGTTGAGATAGCCGGGAATTCGACAGTCAAGATTTCCAACAGTCGAGCTGAAGCAAAAAGTGGAGGAGGTTTCAACACTGGAAAGGGCTTGAAGGTGTCCACCGGCTCAAGGCTCATCATTTGGAATGCGACTGCTGGAAATCATGGAGGAGGTTTCAATGCCTATGGAGAGGTTGAGATAGCTGGGAATTCGACAGTCAAGATTTCCAACAGTCGAGCTGAAGCAAAAAGTGGAGGAGGTTTCAACACTGGAAAGGGCTTGAAGGTGTCCACCGGCTCAAGGCTCATCATTTGGAATGCTGCTGGAAATAATGGAGGAGGTTTCAATGCCTTTGGAGAGGTTGAGATAGCTGGGAATTCGACAGTCAAGATTTCCAACAGTCGAGCTGAAGCAAAACATGGAGGAGGTTTTAACGCTGAAAAGGGCTTGAAGGTGTCCACTGGGTCAAGGCTCATCATTCGGAATGCAACTGCTGGAGTGTCTGGAGGTGGATTCTTTGCCAATGGCAAGACCTTGATCAGCAGGTCCACCATCAGCATTCAAAATGCCACGGCCCGGCAGTTTGGTGGAGGGTTTTGTGCATCTGATGGAGTTGTCATCGATGAGATGTCAAGCGTCAGCATTTCCAATTCAAGATCGAGATGGGGCGGTGGCTTCTCAACCAGCAAACGCCTGCGAGTGGCTAACAGCTCAGCTGTCAGCCTTCAGAATGTGACCGCTGGAAGTCATGGAGGAGGTTTCCTTGCCTTTGGAGAGGTTGAGATAGCTGGAAATTCGACAATCAACATTTCCAACAGTCGCGCTGAATCAGGAGATGGAGGAGGTTTTGACACTGGAAAGGGCTTGAAGGTGTCCACCGGCTCAAGGCTCATCATTCGGAATGCGACTGCTGGAAATTATGGAGGAGGATTCTTTGCCAGGGGCAAGACCTTGATCAGCAGGTCCACCGTCAGCATTCAAAATGCCACGGCCCGGCAACTTGGTGGAGGGTTCAGTGCTGAAGGAGTCGCAGTTATCCAGGATTCTACAGTGGCCTTGTTCAGCGCCCATGCATCAGCAGATGGTGGTGCCTTTTCCGTGTTTGGTTTGACTTTGCGCAGAAGTTCAATGTCCATCGGCAACTCCACTGCAGCCGGATCAGGCTCCGGAGGTCGTGCAGATGGTCAAGTGCTGCTTTCAGCACAGTCTACTTTGGTGGTGAAACATGCCCAAGGTCTCGACAATTCCAGCGTGCTGGCAGCAAGCTGCCTCCACCTGCGTGACCAGTCACAAATTCTGTTTGAAGATGCCCTTGGTGGCCACGGGGTGGAGCTGCAAAATAGTGGATGCTCTGCCGTTTGCTCCAACAGCACGTTCCATGTTGCAGAGGATGCAGCCCTGAACGCCAGTGGTCGCTTGAGCTCCGGTCTTCTCTCCCTTGCAGCCTGCCCGAAGGAGCAGGTACGTCTGTCAGGCATCCACCTGCACTCCTGGTCCAGCGCGTTGCTCAGCACCCGCCCAAGCTCCGTGGTGGTTGACCAAGTGAGTGTCGAGTACAAACCACCGGTCAACAATTTGCAGGTCCTGGCAGCCAAGGACGGGTTCAGGCTGTCAGTGTTGGACATTATCAAATCTCTAGGCCGATATCTTGCTATATCTTGGTAGTTTCTTCTTTGCGTCCTTCTGCAAACGCCACTATCATGCTTATTATGCAACTTCAGGTATATTCGTTTGTATTATTCTGTGATTATAAGGCTCAGTCTTGATGCAGAAAAAAATGAAAAATAGTTCTCTACCCAGAGCGCCTGCTTTTGCGCTTTTGCAATATCTTCCATGTAGATCTCGATCTATGAGTTTTGGTGGATCTGCATGTGTAACATATCTGAACGTAATATAATGCAGTAATTATGTACAAATTGCGACATGACTTGATTTATCGTCATGTTTGCAAAGTGTAATTGAAATCAGAAGCAACTTGTTGATCTAAAATTGATGAAGGACGGCTTCGAGATCGACTCTTTGACGGTTTCCTGCCGGAACTGCGCCTGGGGCATCACTTTCAATGCCACAAAGGACAGTAGTCTCAAAGCCGTGAGCTCTGAACACCTCCGGTGCCCCAAGACAGCCACAGCGCCACTTGGTGCCACGACAGCTGAACAATCTCAAATCTCAAGAGAACGGCCGGCAAATTTATGTAGATTGAACGGCCGGCAAATTTATGTAGATTACCAATGTTCTTCAACCCCCCTCAATTTCTCCTCTACCTGCTAGAAGGCGGATTTGCAGTGAATTCACGGAACGATGCGTCTTTCAGGTGCAATCTGTTGCTATGTCAATGTGCGAGTAAGTGTTTAATTTGCATTTGCTGGAAACCACGTTGAGGTCGAAAGGCTTGACGCCACGTTGCAAGTGTTCCAACTACCAGACTCTCAGCTCACCAGTTTCTTTTGCTCTTCTTTTCTCAGTGTCAGCTCTCCTACCCATTGGTTTTTGAAAGCGAAATAATCCACGTGCCAATCCATGTAGAAGGCATGATTTTGGGAAATTTTGAAGACATCCAGTTGCAGACACGTTATATACCTTTAATATCCTTTATTTTTTTCTGCCATCATGATATTGCTTGGAGCCTGCAAATGGCAGATGGAAGGATTGCAAAAGAGCGTTTCCGTGATGTCGACGTGGTGCCATTGGAACACATTTTCCAGACGTGCACGTTCTGCTCCTCGCCTTGCACTGGATCAACTGACATTGTATTGTGCAACATTGTGCAACATGATTTCATGCTCGGCTTTCATGACTTTTCGCAGTATGTTGCATCTGTTTTTGAGGTGAGCCACACTTCCACTTTCAGAATGACGATTGTCAGAAATGTGGAATCTTCAATGCCTGGTCTGACGGGAGGAAGGATGTTTGCCATGTTCTGCCAAGCAAGAAGACAGAGCTTATCACACTCTTGACTGGTGCAGCTGTCGTCGTCATTTTGACCTTCTTTGCGTTCGAGATTTTGCATGCTCCCTTGATGATCACTGATGCGAAGTCAGATTTGGCAGACCCAACACAAGCTGAAAGCAAGAGAACTTTCACGCTTGCAGTGCAAGGGCCAATTGTTGATCTTCACAAAAGCCTGTCTCGATTGGTGAACCAGCGGGTGCGTTATCGGGCAAAGGGAACGGGGTTGATATGGCTAGATTATGACCAGAAGAAGTCCAACGCAATCAAAGTGCGCAATATTGCACGCAGAAAGCTTTTGCTGCAAGACACAAATGCACCATTTGATTGTGCTTCGTGCAAGGGATCTTTGCACGCCACTGATATTTTTTACCTGCTCAGCCTGCTCACTGTATGCATATTAGTTGGTGCATTGCTGCCTGCCATCATCAAGGTGGCAGTCACATCCGGAAACGGAGTGGGCCACGTTTTCGCGCTTTGGCTTGCAAAGAGAATTGTTTTGGCCTGACCCTCAAAGGGGCAAGAATTATTGCCCGAGGTTAATATTTGCTCGTTAGCCGATTGGTAAGAAACTGCTCGTGCTCTCACTGCAGCTATATATGAATTGAAATACCGCAGTACAGGATTGTTCCCCACCTGCCAGGTGAGGGTTGTTAGATTTTATCAGAGCTGTTCTCCTCCTCCTCCGCCTCCTCCTCCATCTCCTCCTCGTCCTCCTCCTCGCAGTCCAGATCCCAGTGGGCACTGCCGGACCTCCACCGCGAGCTCCAGATCGCAGTGTGCACTGCCGGACCTCAACCGCGACTTCCAGGTTGCAGTGGGCACTGCCGGACCTCAACCGCGACTTCCAGATCGCAGTGGGCACTGCCGGACCTCAACCGCGACTTCCAGATCGCAGTGGGCACTGCCGGACCTCAACCGCGAGCTCCAGATCCCAGTGGGCACTGCCGGACCTCAACGGCCAGATAGAATGCCAGAAGATATGCCAGATAGAATGCCAGAAGATGCCAGAAGATTGTCAACAGAATGCCAGAAGATATGCCAGATAGAATGCCATTTGCCGGATAGAAATAGCCAGAGATATGAAGCCAGAACATATGCCAGATAGAATATGCCAGATAGAATGCCAGAGATATGCCAGAATATGCCAGAAGATATGCCAGAAGATAGATAGAATGCCAGAAGATATGTGCCAGATAGAATGCCAGAAGATATGCCAGAACCAGAATATGCCAGAAGATATGTCCCAGATAGCCAATGCCAGAAGATATGCCAGAACATATGCCAGAAGATATGCCAGATAGAATGCCAGATAGAATGCCAGAAGATATGTCAGATAGAATGCCAGAAGATTTGCCAGTAAGAAAATGTATTAAATGCCATGGTGGGGATCATTTGAAGTGAAGTATTTTTTTTTAATCATCTCTTGGCTTGTCCATGGGTAGAAACTCAACTCATCAAGCCATGCATAGCATATGTTGTGTAAATGTGTCAGGAGCTGACTGTCAAACACCTGTATAAAATTCGCTGAAACTTGGGCATTCTAGTTTGCGCCGGTTTGATGTTTTCTGTTCCCGTTTGACACCTTATTTTTGCGCCCGTTTTGTGCCCGATTTCTTGGCATAGTGTTCACCAATCTGGTCAGAAATTAGACATGGATCACTTTGAATCAAAACCCCTTCTGGGATGTCTTAATGCATGCGACTGGCATCTCAAAGGACCACCCTGCCCCTGAATGGCCCGAGCTGGGACATGGATTATTTTCGTGAATTCATAAGTTTTTTATGGTTGTTTGCTCGTTTTGCACGAATTTACTCGTTTGGCTGAAAAGTGCTTCAATGGCAATGGAAATTGCGCAACAGCCAATTGATATGAGCCACGGTCAAAATGGTTGAAGACCACTTTAGTATTGCAGGAGTTTTTTGTCAGAGATGTGCACGAAACACTGTAAAGCGATAGGGCCCTCCCAAAAGCGATAGCCCTGGGACCATACACGACAGTCCATTAAACTCGGCGTAAACCAAGCAAATACTGTTGTGCACATTCACAGAAAGGGCTAAACGGATGAGGGAAATTCAACCTGTGGTGCCCTGCTTCCTACAGCTACCATATCATTTGGCATCCAGCTCGCTCGCTGTCTTTCTTTCTCTCTCTCTCTCTCTCCCTCTCTCTCTCTCTCTCTCTTTCTCTCACTCTGTTTTTCTCTTACTCACTCTCTCTTGCACTCTCTTGCTTTCTCTCTCTCTCTCTCTCGCTTTCTCTCTCTCGAAGAAGAAGAAGAAGAACTAGTTCAATGGGCAAGCATGACGGAGCAGGCAATGCGCGTCACCCACGGCTAAGCTCAGAGGAACCATGTAGTTGCAAGGCTATACCTTTGTCAGTAAGTGCTCTTTCAGGCAAGGCACTGTATCTTCATCTGTTCAAGTTCTTTTTGTCTGAGATAGTGTCTGACTTGCAACTTGAATCTAAATCACTGAGCCCCGTCCTTTTTCCGGGAACCTGAAATCCGGAGCAGTTTGTCTTTTGTTATTGACAACATTCTGATTGCTGCTGAATGGGAGAAAGCATTGAAACAATTTTGGCCGTGACCGGAAGAAAAGTTGTCCTGAAAAGGACTGGCCTTGTGTTGCTTTCTCTCTCTATATCTCTGTCGTTTTTTTTCCCTCTCTCTCTCTCTCTCGTTTTGTCTCTCTCTCTCTCTCTCTCTCCCTCTCTTTCTCTGTTGTTTTTGTGGCAGGTTTCCTTCGAGCAATGTCAGCTGTTAAGAGGAATTATTTATTTAGCGATAACTTAGCGATCTCCGGCGATCTCCATTTGTTGCACTCGGTCCCCTGGCCAAGCCATAGAGCCATTTCCATAACTTTAGAAAGCACATGAAAGGACATGAATGCAAAATGAAAGGAACATGCATGCAAATGAAAGGAAGATGAAAGGACATGAATGCACATTGGAATGAACATGAAAGGTACAAGTATATGAAAGGAAAATGAAGGAACATGAATACAAATGAAAGGAACATGAAAGGATCATGAAAGGAACATGCATGCAAATGAAAGGAACATGAAGGAAGATGCATGCCAATAAATGCAACATGAAAGGAACATGAAGTGTTGCCGAACAAAACAACTGCTCGATTCATTTCCGAGCCTGTTTAGCAATGGATTTTGGCTTCATGTTGGAGCTCGAATATGCTGATTTCCACAAAACCCTGGAAAGAGATAGGGCCCTCCCCAAAAGAAATAACCATAACAATAGCAACTACTCGGATGTAAAGGATTTTTTGCCGACAAATCTAATCCGGTCTTGTCTCACGAGTTTGGGTGCTGTCTTGTGTTTTGCTTTGATGGGAAAGACATTGACATTCCTGGGAAAGGTTACAGCAATTTACGTGACCCTTCCTCTGGTCGCTGCTGCTGCACTTCTGCATTTCCCGGTCGCATGGCTCATCCAACGGCTATATCGTAGAACGTCATTTTCGGAGGCTCTGGATGATTACCGGAAGCAGATCAACTGCAAGCCATTCACGGGGCCTGACGCAATCCATCCTCGCAACCAGGGATTAGAAGCGCTGACTCTACGCAGGTTGTGGAAGCACTTCGAGAGATTCTCTCCTTTTTCACCAGCAAAGGTTTTGTTGAGTTGGTTTTTGTTTTGTTTTTTTACAATCATGTATGCTCACATTTACATTGAATTGTTAAAACTTGTTTCACGCGTATGCTTGGATGCGAATGGACAGGTAGAAATTGGTATGCTTGTATTTGTTCAAGATGTTCAAGTCTGAAAATTGATGCCCGAACTTGTCCAAGTCAGGCTTTATTCTGGAGCGCAATATGCACTTTGTGGTTGCCAACATAGTAACGCCCCTGACGCAAAGCAAGGGAGTTTCCTTTGTAACTCTTTGGGGTGGCAGGCGGGTGGATTATTTTGTGTCACTTGCCCATTGCTTTTGGCAAAGTTTTAAAACTGATGTGTTTCCCTTTCCTCCAACGTTTGTGCGGTCTCTGTCCGGTCCTGCTCCAAAACGCCTCCTTGTGTTTTGGGTAAGGTCCCATTCCTGGGGCACCAGCTTTCCGCACTTTGTGCAGTCTATCCAGTGCCATGCTCTGTCCAAAGAGGGCCCCACTTCTTGGATCGATGCAGCATATTGGATCTGTTCGTTTGCAACTTGGAGGAGAACACGAGCCCATCTTCACGGTTTTGATTAGTTATTTTTGAATTTGGCATTAGCACATGCCTCATGTTTGGGGTAGATGGACCTCGATCATGTTCCACTCTCTTACCTGCCAGACAGACGTTAAACTATAGGGTTCGTCATGTGTGAGCCATGTTAACGAGAAAAAATGCTTTGAGTTGGAAATGCTGTGAAACTGAAGGAAGTCTTCAACAAACTCTGCATGTCACCCAAATAAGCGCAATTGAAGACATATAAACACCAGCATGTTGGTTTATTGTGCGTTTCTTTTGTTATTGGCGTGCAATTTAAAACTAGTATATTTGGCAGGTCTGGGGACTGACCATGTTTTGTTTGATTATTTTTGGTTTACTCAAATTTTTACTGATGTTATTTGCTGTATATTTGCTGTTATTGCCGCGCATTTAAACATACATAAAATTGTTCAAGGGTCTGACCGTCTGACCGTAGATTTTTGTTCATGGTTTCATGGTTCTGTGGGGAGATGTTCTCGCTGGATATTTCTGTAGTTGTTTTTCTTTGGCTGCACTCTCCATTGGATACCCTTCTATTTTTAGGCATTTTCTTCTGTCAAAAAAACTATATTAGATCTGTGAAAGATTTTGTCTTTTGAGAGAATTCTGCCAAGGCAAACAACCAGTGGAACATTGGAGCTGACTTGGGAAATGATCCCATGGAGAGCGCCTTTGCACGGACCTTGACTGCGGGAATCAAAGGAGTTGCAATGGTATTGGATCAG